TTTTGCAAGGATGGGGCAAGTCCAGGTCTCAGCTGCTCTGAATGATGGGTGCATGGAGCTGGTGTCTTGGTCCTTCTTGATAAAATAGATGGAAAAGATGAGAGATGAAAGCCTGAAATCAAGAGTTTGCCCCAAATCTGATCATCACTTACCTTAAAATGCACATTCAACCATTGCAGCTTGGGGCCCAGCTTCACATGAATGCGGTCACCTGAGGCTCAGGGGTGTCCTCTGGTCAAGGAGGGAAGGGAAGTGCCACTGATATTCGGCTTTCAGATTTCCTGGGTAGCGTGGAGACTGGTCAGGATTTCTGGGAGCAGTTTGCACATCTTTCAGTGCCGCTCCTCCTTTGTGCTGCTGCATGACTCCTCTGGACACCCGCTGGGCTACAAGCAATGTTGGAGAGGCGATTTCTCCCCGAGGTTTTGGATTGCCTCGCTCCCTTGTGCCTATCTCCTCAGACACGGCACTTGGTTGTAAAACGTGCAACAAGGGAAGCGAGTCTGATTCTGGTTTCGGTGTGTAGCCTGCCACCTCCTCCTTGCAATCCTTTTTTTTCTTTCCCTCCCCTTCTGTCTTCCCTGATCTAAAATAAAACCCACTTAGCAGACAGCAGTCTGTGGAAAAAAAAACCGACAAGATGCTGGGAATACTCCAGCTGGGTTTTTTACCACACACACATATATATATAAAGGTTAGACTGTGATAGCTGAAATACCAGAGAGCAGAGGCAATCTGAAAATTCAGCCTGTAAGTCCTTAAACATGTCATTCCCTGGCTTTCCTGGTGTAAGTGGGACCTATTGGGGCATTTCTGTGATGATAACTCCATTGAATTTCATTAAGGGTTATATGGAGGCAATTGTGGGAGACGTCAAAATACAAATCACTGTCTGATTATACGACAGCGCTTCCCAGAGACAAAAGAGTGAGGAATGAAACACTCTCCTAGGAACAATGACCTTTTTCATCGTCGCTGCATTGGGCTGTGACAGACGAGCAAGGTCTCGTCCATTATTACATCATGGCAGAACATGCCAGGGAGCATGGCCAGTTGACCAGAAGTTAAAATATGTAAAATTGCTTTGTGCTTCCTCTTAATTGACCCAAAGGAACTCAGAAATCAACCTGGGCCAATTCATTTTGAATTGATTTCTTCATGCCGAAAAATGTATAGAGCTTTGGGTTGAGTAAAGTTTCAGGGATTGGGTCTAGCTGGATGAATGGCTGATACCCGCTGAAAGAGAGAAAGTGGAAAAGTTTCATTAAGGCTATTTCAGGGAAAATATTTTGACTGTCCATTACAAAACAATGTTTGAATGAAAATGAGGTGTTAATGGTTTCAGTTTTAAATGAAGATTTTTAGAACTGTTTTAAGTAAAAGCAAAATGTAACCAATTAAAATGCTAGATAGAGTCCCCCCCATCCAAAATTTGCATATACATGAGCTTTTCGGGGCAAGAAAAAATAATCTGAAACTTGGTCTTCTAGTTAGCCTGGAGAAATCTGTGGTCTTCCAGTCTGGCTATCTAAATTAAAAATGCAGTTAATTATTCACACAGACTAGTCTCAAACTCTCTCTTTAATTTCAGCGAGGAGCATGTGTCCACCACTGCTGGGTGGCTGTGGACAACCCTTGAATCAATGTCCAGTAGATCTCTGCTTCAAATAGATGGAGCAGCAGCCGTCTCCGCAATGCCACTGATGCCACTGTGCTCCAGATGGAGATACCATGGCCTTGGTTCAGTGGTCCACACATGTGGTCGCATTAAAGTGTATTTTCAGGATGGACCCCAGAAGCATCAACCTTGGTTGCCACCAGCCTTTCTCTGCAGGCATCGTAGGCCACCTGGGAAAGAGGACATAGCTCTAAGCCACTTGTACAAGGAGAGGAACTGGCACTCAAGGGCATGAATCATCTCACTGCAGACAGCTGAGACCTGGTGGCTCTTTCTGGGAATTTTGTGGTGGGAGCAGTGACCTCAGCTCATGTTTCTCAAGGCCCACGCAAACTTTGGATTACCAGGATTTTTTAAACAAAGTCCAGCAAAAATCACAAAAATCAGACATGCTTCTATTTATCTTTCCTCCCTAGGCTGATATATTTTTAAGTGCCTGGACCCACTTTTGACTCAGTGGCTGGCTAACAAAACAGCACTTAATGTAAAAGAGTCTTTTTTTTTTTTTTTGGCTTGCTTTCCCATATGTTTTTGTCCAAGTGCGTAATAACTGTTCCCACCTTAATTTCTTCCCATCTCCTCCAGACTGCAAGGCAGAGCAATTGCTGATGGAGCTGTAGGGGTGTCCCAGTGATGTGTATGGATAGAGAAACCTGACTGGAAACCCTGCACACCAGTAAACCTTGAACACACCAGGCTGGTGCTTCCCTGACGGCTCTCCAGGCAGAGCTGGAGCCGCTGAACACAGTGAGAGACCAGAGGCAGAAATCAATACAGACATAATTTTATAATTAAAAAATTGTGCATTTCAACAAACAGCTGGCAGTTATAACCATTCCCCATTCCACTTAATGCAGAAAATACATGTCTGGAACCCAGACGTCTGATATTTCTAATGCCACATATAATCACCTCCTAAGACTGCGCTTGTGCTAACCTCCTGTATTTGGCTACCAGACAAGAGCCCAAAGGCAGGTCTACCTTACAGTTGACTCTAGCTGATCCTTGAGAGAACCAGTCCCCCTCTTCCAAGGCATTGTTTTCACCAAAAAGTTGTCATTGCTATCTTTTGATCGAAAATGCCTCTGAAAATCAACATGTGGGACATGAATTGATGTGGTTTTTTAATTAAAAAAGTTAACAAAGAAGAATTTTAATGAGGGTGTTTTTTTTTCCTTTTCCAGTTCTCCAATGGGAAATAAGGCTATTTCTCTACTAGTAAACTAAACAGCATCATGGCTGGTTGTCTTGTCCAGAGGCCAACTGACAGTGTGGCCACAACCCAATTAAACCTTCACCACCGGGCAGCACAAGATTCAACACCCAGGCATGGCACTGATTAACTTGCTGGTATAGATAGAGCTCCAGTGCCCAAAATACCTCCTTCCTTAGCAGAAAGGAATGATACTCAGTGAGCTTTGAAGTGGAGGGGGAGGCATCACTGAGGGATTATATGCTATGGGTGATAGAGGGCTGAACTCAGCTCTAGAGTCCCCTACCAGTCCCCAGCCCCATATGTCTATGAATCCCTTCATGATGTTAATTTGTTCCTCCCATGGAGACCTGTGGAGGCAGAAGAATTATTTGTCTTCTCTGCATTGACCTAAGTAAGCTCTCTGTGGAAACCCCAAGTCTTGAAGCCTCATTGCATCTTCCCAGGCATGGCAGAGTATCATTGGCTTCTGGTTCACATCACATTTGGGAACAAAGACATGGGTCCACCACTCAGCCTCCCAAGAGAAGCATCCTGCGAGCTCACGTGCACACACACAATGACTTATGCACACACACAGCTTACATAGTCAGGTACAGGCACATCAACACAGCTGCACAGCTTTCAGCTCAGTGCTGGCTTGCGTCTCCTGCTCGTCCCCAGGGCTTGGGCTGGTTCTGCATGGACACAGTCATGTTCATTCAGCTGCAGAGCTCTCTGCTTGGGCTCATGGCAGAGAGCAGAGTTGGGCTGGGGTGATGGGTTGAGAGATTGCACCACTCTGACATGGCCAGGAAAGGTGTTGGCACAGGAGAGAGAGCCTAGAGGCACCCACACTCCCTCTAGACAGATTGTCTTGGGTGCCAGGTGTCCCAAGATTGCCATGGCTAGACTTCTTGAGTCCCTGCCCTTGCTGGGCTACACCATGGGTGTCTCTGTCCTCCATGCCACGAACAGGCAGGTGTGCAGCTGTGTGCACTGAAAGGTAAGAAAATATAACATCCATCTGACATACTGCCAAGCAGGGAGGGAATCCCATGTGTTTGCTGCAGGTCCAAAACTCATTGCAGCAATGTTTGTCCCTTTAATTTTATAGTCACACTTTATGTTCGTTACACAAAAGTCCCTTTTCTCCTCTTGAAGTTCCCTTCTCTGATGGATGTGTGTTGCTACAGAGGATCCAGGATTTGCTGGTGCTGCTGTTGAGGGAATGTCAGCCTGGGGTGATTTCTCAGATATGAGATGTCTTGGGTGTAAGTTACCTCCTTTGCCTTACTGCTTGTGGGGGTAACCACACGGTGTCTCGTGGCCACTGCTGACAACAAGATCAGGAACATGTATTGCTCTCGGTATAACTTCTAGGGCACACAGGCAACTTCGGGCTGGCTGGAGTCTCTATATAAATGTGTCCATGATCTGTCCATAATCTAGACCTCAGGCAAAAGTAAGCTAGAGTACGCTGGACTTAACAGAGCAAGTAAACAAACTCATCTTCTCATCACTTCTTGGAGCTGCATACCATTTAACCCACAGTCCCTCACCTGCTGGAGGGCTCCTTTCCACTGGAAATCAGCTTCCTACCTGAAACAACCCCACGGACCCTGTGCTTGGGCCAGCAGAGGCTGAGGATCGATGCCCAAGGAGGCATCCAGGGAGGAGAGTGACTCTGAAGAGACAGCTCCAGCCTGGGAGGAGGTAAAGGGGAAGGGAAAAGGGATTTTGCTTTTCTTGTGGTTGATCTTTGACACACAGCCCCCCTTTGATTTCTGAGTACAAACAGCCACACTGGAGCTGCATTCTCTTAGTTACTGTGGGGGGAAGAGAAGGAGAAGGGACTTTGCAAAGGAGCAGGCTAAGTGCACGTGTTGGGTTAAGATGCTCTCCACTTTTGCCCCGTGCAGGTCCTGTCTTCTCAATGAGCATCTCCATGCTGTCTCAGTGCCCAGCTCTGCTGCTCTGCCCTGCCACCAAGGCCAGCTGTGGGTTCCCTGTTTGCTCCTGTTCCCTCTGCCCCTCTTTGGCCTCTTTTCACCCAGCCATGAGGTGGAGAGAGCCCTGGTGCTGCCCAGTCCTCTCTTTCTCCCCCATCCTTCCCTCTTCTTCCCCCCTTCAGCACAGCGAGAACCGTCGGGAGTTGATGTTCATCTTGGTGACCCCAATGAGCTTGAGTGGTGTGGAGAGGCTGAAGGAGCTCATGAGGGGGAAGTCGCAGAAGAGGTCGGAGAGCTCATCCCTCTCCTCCAGCTCGTACGTGGCGTCATTGAGCATGCGCTGGTGCAGGTGGCAGGTCTGCTCGATCTTCAGCTTGTTGATGTCACTGCGAAGGCGCATGAGCTGCCTCGCCAGTTGCTGGTCCTGCAGGCGCATTTCTGCCTGAAATACAAGATGGAAGGTGGGGAGGGAAGAGGGTATTGGCAAGGATATGGAAAATTTGCTCATCATGCTGCTCCCTGCTAGAGGCTGCACCACATCATTGGAAATGTAACTCATCCAGAGATGTTACCCCATTGCAAAGAACTAGGAGGGAGACGGGGGTCTTCCAAGCCAGCAATGCATCCCATTCAAATACCAGCTCAGGATGGTGAATTTGTAGCATTCAGCAAGTCTGTGCCTGCTCAGGTTTTCAGGAGCACCAGGAAACTGAAATTAAAGCCAGCCATGCCAAGGCTGTTGGCTTAGGTGATGGATACATCAGTGCAGGCTTCATAGCCTCCATCTCAACCTTAAGCAAAGCTCAAATTAATTTTTTTCATAAGGGAGCAGCCACAGTGAGAAGTAGCAATTAGAGGTGGAAAGGACCAATTAAAAGAACCCCAGAGAACCGATCCCCAAATACTCGGCCTGGGTTTCCAGCCTGCATAAATCAGAGCTGGTTCATGACGGCCGAGAACACGGCCTTCCACATCCCCCGTGGTTTATCTCACTGATTTGAAGTGGCTCTCAGGATGGGACGTCTATGTTTTCCCATAGGAGAGAGAACAACTATCCTGCAGGCTAATGAGCTAAGTGTTTTGGAGGGTTTTTTCCTCCCCTGGCACCTAACTTTGGAAGGTGGAAGATTCAGAAGTGATGAAAGAAAAGAGCTTTTTCTTTTTTTTTTTTTTTACTTCCAACTTATAATTAAGCAGAAAATTTATTGCCACAGGATATTAGGGGTGGTGAAGGAAGGAGGTGAACACTTCATGCAAGAATCAGCCTTTGATTGGGGAACAGAAGCAAGCAGAGCTAGAACAGCAGATGCCAAGAAGACAATCCCTACGTCTCACCCCACATCCCTCCTTACAGAAAAGCAACAAACCACAAGCCACAAAGAAAAGAGAGTGGTGGGAGAGAAGCTGAACAGCTCTTAACAAATCTTGTGGCTTAAATCTCCCTGTAACTACTGGAGACAAGGAGGGAGCAAAACTGGCTGGAAAAACAGTCCTACATCTGCCCCGGTACAATGTCTTGCCTCTTTCCCCTGTGTTGC